GGTATGAAAATAAAATCAGCTTCGAAATATTATACACTCATTCGACTTGAAAAATTATTTTATTTGTTACTCACTTGTAAACATCAATTATTCGATCTGACTATTTACCTCGAAACTTCATCTTTACAAGTTAGCTACGAATAAAATTGACAGGAGTGCCAGTTATAAATTTTTTGCGCGATTGAGGTCTATTTGATTGTTTACTACGTCTGTGTCCAAGACAGTAAGTTGTATTTACTCGTCGCTATCCTAAACTTGTCGGTAAGTATTTTGTTTATTGTTGCTAAGTCGGTAAGCATTCAAAAATGTTCTAGAACGGCAAAGTATTTTGCCATTTTAGAACATATTTTAAATATTTTATTAAAAAAACTAACAAAAATCAATCGCGCAAAAATGTCATAAGCATCACGAACGTTAAGGATTTACCTATCTCAGACAATAATTAGGGTCGTCGCTTTGCTCCTCCTCCAAACAATTGTCTTCGATCGGTAAAATGTCCTTACCGTTCTTGATGCTTAATATACTTACACGCTCGCAACGTTGATTTATATTGATTTGATATTGCTGATAATCGTCGTTGCCACAGTAATTTTGTACAGAATTTTGATAAATTTTGAAAATAATTAAATTTTTTATTCAAATTTAATTACTTAATAATTTTCCTATTTTTTACAAATGGGAAACAAATAAAGTATTGTACAGTATACGCAAGGTAACCGTTTTTATTGCCTCAAGGAGGTGACAGACTCGCCTACGACTCGCCAGTTATTCTCTCCATTCGGCAGTAAAAACCGTTTTACCTTGCTAATACTGTAAAATACTATACAGACTGTTTCGGCTAAACCCCACATTAGAAGTATTAGAAGTTATAACAATGACATTTATCTAAAATTTTGATTATAGCCATAATCGTTTGTTCAATAAAAATATTTACAAGATAGCAGCACTTCCGGTTACACCGGAAATGGGTATCAACTTCGTTGTTTTAAATAAAAAGTTATGTTTTTTATTGCGTTTTTATATTGCTCAAGTGATTTTGACAGAGTTTTTATCAGACTTTCTTATACCTAAATTTAACCGTTTTTGAAATATTTATACTTAAAAAAAAATTGCATCTTCTCTAAAAATCGATAACTCTACCATTTTTAATTATTTTGAAATCGTATTTGGGCATATGAAAAAGCAAGGTTAGATCTTTTCTTTCGTGTATTTATAATTGGAAAAGTAATTAACAAACCTCCAAAATTTAAGGTTACTTTAGAAACGCATAAGTAACTTGTTTAACCAACGCCAACGGGTTATTGTTTAAAAATAATTAATAAAATAAAAAACAAAAACAAATATTAATAACAGCTGAAAGCAAACGAATTTAATACGAAAAAAAAACCTGCCAATTCATCAATTTAGAAAGATTTTCAATATAAGCGTAATTTAAATGCAGTTACACCTTTGACAAATACGAAACTAAGTTTACGGCTGTGTTACCGCTGCTTACTCTTATTTCTAGAGTATCTCTTTTTTTTATTACACATAACCAAGAAAATTTAAAAGTAGGTAGGTACATACGTGAAATATGTTATCTATTAAAACAATGTTAGTAAATATTGTATATTTTAATTTTCAGATAACAATAAAAATGTAAACTCGTATTGTGGCACATTTTATTACGCTCTCGAGTTTTGGAACAAAAGGAAATGGTTTAAAATAGATTAAAAACCTAAACGTAATTTTCATAATATTAAGCTGTTTCCCTTTTTAATAACCGTTAGTACTTTTTGTAATATAACCGTTAGTACTTTTTGTAATATCTTTTTAATTAGGATCTTTAGTGACATTGTTTTAAAAGCACGACGGTTTCTTTAATAAGGCTAATATTAAATACGAACAATCTCTCTTGGTTTTGGAATTATTCAAAGATTGCGAATTCACAAAGCTCGGCTCTACGTAATCCACAACTTGGGGTCTCATAAATTAGCTCTGCTGCAATTTTCCGGGATTTACACCCCGCTAGATTGTTTGTTCGTAACTATGAATAGACCGGTGTTTTGTTGTTAATACGTCATCAACAAGTGTAAAGGTGTGGTATTACAAAAGCAGTGTGGGAATTATCTTCTGGGAGACCACATCTGAACCTAAATTTTTTTCATAATTGCAAATTCTCCTCCTAGACGTATCGCTATTTTATGTAGGGGAAATAAGTCTGAACTTGCGAAAGAATTTTTAATAGCACGAAGAATCTCTGCTAGAAAGAATGTTTTATATTGGGAACGTCTAATCATACGAGAAAAGTTTGAAGGATTGAGTTAATCCGGTAGGTAAGTCCTTTATAAATTTGAACACGTGTGAACTCATTTCCAATTTCGGTCCTAAGCTCTGACATATAAACTGGCAATATCGGTTAAGTTAGGAGTTCTCTTTCAGGAATTTTCGTAAAAGTTTTTTCATAAGAAGTTAATACCGAAGCAATAACTAATAATTCAATCTTGTGTTATGTTAGTTTGAAAAACAATCAATACAAAATGGAAATTAGTTGAGCGAAATTTGGACCCAATAAAATTTATCACGTTATTTAACTTTAAGCAAATGGTTTGGGGAAGTCAAGCTTTTTAACATAATCGATTGATTGAATGTTTTTTGAGAACCAAACCTAGAGAAAAAAAATGAAATGGATTTTTCACTAAATTGCGACTCTCTTGCCTAGAGTTTGTAGTAAATACACAAAACGGTTATTAAAAATTAAATAGCCCGGAGCATTCCCTTTTTAAACTCTTCAAAAAAATTAAAAATTGTGGCGACGGATTTTGGCGAGAGTTTTGGTTTTCTGATACAAAAACACGAGATTTATAAGCACCAGGATTTATTTAATTCTCAAATAAGCACACTCACTCACTCACAGCATTAACAGTAAGATAAATCACTCGTTGAGAAAGATGAGAAAAATATTATGCGAAAAATGAATACATTGTCTGGCATGCAAAATGAGATTCGCATTTTGTTTTGTTCTTGTTCTTGTCTTGCTTATTTACTTTGTAAAAGTGCACTATGTGGGTGATTGTATAAATTTCCGAGGATGCAAGTTATTCTATTTTGCAAATCGTTTTAGCGAAACTTATGTCTAGCGTATTTTGCGATATTGTAGACATAGATAGGGAGTTTTAAATTTTATTAAAGACCGATTTATTTAAATTTAAAGTGAAAGAATATAGTTTCAAGCACAATTTTTTATATATTGTAACTATACTTAACTTTCTTGATGTAAGCTTATGTATGAAAAAATAAAAAAATAAAAAAATAATATATGAATGAGTGGTATGTATTTTTTTAATTTTATGTTATGCTATAAAAAAAGAAAAAGAAGGCACTTTGAAACTTTAGCAGCAGCAAGTTTTTTTTAATTAGTTTAACTTTGGTCGTTATCACATTACAAAAGCCTTCTCAATTTAACCAATACGTTTCTCTCTCTTTTTAAGTTGGCTGACCCATACTAACCTTACATTCAAGAGAGAGAATCTTGTTTTCAAACACTGTCTTTTTTGTTATATAMCTCTGTATGCAAGAAACTAGTAATAAATTGCATACAAAAGCGTAATCATTATTTGTTCACTCAACGTAGTAGACTTATTTTGATAATGTCGTACTTAATCATAGTTTAGTGTTCAGTCACGAAGCACGAGATTATTACATATTATCTAACAAATCTTTGCACACTATTGTGAGTGAATCTTCCAAATTGATTTTCCACCTAAAGTGATTAATGATATTAACTTGAATGGTTTTGACTTAATATATTTTTGCTTACAGGGGCATGTCGTTTTTATTTCTTGGATTAAAAATTTCAAAATACATAAAGTCTATTTTTTTTTAATGGCAATGTCAAACAGTCCTAACGGTGGCACTCCTAGCAAGTTCATCATGGTAATTTTAATAAGGGAAGTTGGCAGTTCCGGTTTTTGATTTACTTTTAAACCTCAGCAAAAAAATTTCTAAAAAAATTAAAAACGGGGACAAATTGGGTACCCGAACAGTTTTTGAGAACGAAAAGTGTGAACACAGAAGTCAAAAAAGACCACCTCTAAAATTAAAAGGCAATTTGTAATGCAGTGTTGCTACATATATCTAATTTTTAGCAAGAATTGATGAGAATACAAGATAAACTTCAAAGAGAAAGAACGCAATTATATTAGTAGGTCAGCTCGTTGCACCGTTTTTGAAGAACAAGTTGAAAAAGTAACAATTTTGAAATTAAAGCCGATGGCGAATTTAGAAAATGCATCAACTTTGAACTTATTTTAATAAATTACACAAAAATTGTCAATCTTTATAAACCTTGCTTGTATCTTTTGCAAAATTACTTTTTTCTGTGTAGACACCCTTTTTCATTGAAGTTTTTGTAGTAAGAAGCTCATTTTTGTCCACAACTTTGTAGGTACTTACTTGCTGCGTAGTTTTATCAATATTATTAGCACTGAATTCTGTCTTTGGACATTAGATAGGTAGTGATATTTGTTCTCAAGTATTCGATTATAAAGGCATAAAACAGCAAACAAACACACAAGATTCATAAAAGTCAAATTTTGACCACATCTCAACATGAAAACATAATTTTTTAACAAAATTTCTGGGGACAAAAACAAAAAGCAAACAAAATTTGTGGCTATAGAGACAAGCTGCTACCAAATATTTCACCAAAATTTTGGTGATTTCCATTAAAACAGGTTTTACATTTTTATATATGGATGCATCAATGAAAATGATTAATGTTTTACACTTCGTATTTTTGACATTATCCTTATACTTCCAAACAAAATATGCATGTAAACAGTCACAAACCTGAATATATTTTTATTAAATTTTATTAAAATCCGAGAGAAATTGCTCTTCCCCTGATAGGTAAGCAAGCGCCTCGAGCTTTCCAATGCGAACAAAGCTCTCCTAACATGTCTGTTCGGAAGCGCAAACGCTTCAATTTCTTTCCAGCTTTAGTATGTGTCGGTCTTTGTTGCGAGCAGCTCGGTATAACATTTCCATCATTTTCACGCAATTTAATTTCTAAGTGACCTGTTGCTTTTGTCATTTTCTATTTAACAAAGTAGAAATTTTAAGAGTTAAGTATTTAAACTGAATGATAAACCGACAATGTAGAAAACTGCATCTAACATAATCATGAGCTGTTCTCATTTTATCTAATAAATGTATTGGCTTTGTGCGAACAATTTATTCAATCGGTAATAAAGTTTGTAGCTCTTCAACTAGCAACAAGCTTCAGATTACATGCAGTAAGTAAATTTTGTTGTTTTTCTTGAGATTTTAATGAGTAGTGCCCTATTTTTGATGGCATATCGATTTTATAGCAGCGTAAAATTCAAGTCCCGAAAATTATGCAAATTCGGGAGGTGTCGTAAAAGTTAGCACTTACAAACAGGGATTTCCACTTAAATCTAATCTTATTCGGGAAGAACCTCGGGATATATTAGGAAAATCAAAGCAGGGTTCGCTTAATATTCTTTTATTACCGCCACACATACCTCCGACAATTAAATCGTAAATGGCCAAAGTTTCAAAAAGTAACTTGGACAAATCTACTTCCAATTACGCCCTTTATATCAAACAAAAACTTGACCAACACCTCTTAATTGGTTTGTTTGTGTTACATAAAAAGCTCATGCTGAGTGAAGATATGAAAGTTTTAACACACGCTCGTAAGTTCGTTTATCTTGGTTTTATAACTTTATGGTGCAATTTTATAGGTTTCGCTAAAGCTCTATTAAAGTATTAAACTGAAAAACTTAAAAAATTCAGCAATTTAAAGAATGCAAGGACTGTAAGAAAGTAAAGACCCGAGGATTGGAAACTCGCAACTATTTAATTAGAAAAGTGAAAACTTCCGTTTTGAGGTGTATACACAAGAGGGTTTTATCAAAGATTAGGTTAATTAAAAATAATAGTTATTTATTCCATCCTCTATATTAAAATTGAATTTTATCAACTCTTTTCTTCATGTTAAAATGAAATTTTATCGTCTAGATTCTAGATGATAAAAAATACATCCATTGTTGTATATCTGCGGTTGTCAGTTGCTAACGATCTTTGACATTAGATTTCATTGTTGAATTTTATATTGACATTTATAAATATAGACCAAATTGACTACAAAATTAGTGAGGAGTGAATAAAATTTTATATTGTACACGACCATAAAATTTTCATTATCTTTTCGAATATTAAAATTTCATTTTAACATGAAGAAAAGAGTAGATAAAATTTTAACATATAGGATTGAATAAATAGAATTTTTTTATTCCTAGTTAAATTGAAACAAGTACTTTGTTTCTGAGCTTTTTAATATCAAATTTGTAATTTATACCGGTAAAGTGCTATTACCATAAATACGACGTGAATGGTAAACATTTGATACTAATTATTAATAAGTATTTAAATCTGTGTTAACAAAGAAATTTTTCTACTTTGCATGATATTTTGTATAAGATAAGACACAAAGAGAATATGTTGTTTTGTTGTAAAAAACGTTTCCAAACTTACAGAATTTTACCGATTTTATATTATAATCTATTTAACAATATTTTGCAATTTTTCCTCACGTTACGTACAACCAAACAATTGCAACAGTTTAATAAAATGGTTCTTAGGAACTTCAGTTTGAGTGTCATTTATATATTTCTAAATTCTGAGGACTATAAATTCTTTCATTTGAGATTATGCAGAAACATATCTTTAGAGTAACAAATTTCATATTTTTAGATGTTATGAAATAGGTTTTGATATCATGGTCGTCATTACATTTCAGCGAAAAACACTAATGAAGGACAGGAGCTTTAAAATGTAAAGGATCTAAATAAATAAAACAAAAAAGAAACTTCTGTCACTAAGTTTTGAACATTAATTAAAGCTTTTCGATGTGTGAAATCACTGACATCTTAAAAGAAGAAAGATGGGGTTTAAGCTCTTTTTTATATTATTTCGTACAAGATTTTTTATTAAACCAAAATTAAAATGCAAATGTAGGATGAAAAAGCTTCAGGTTTTTGTTAATAATAAGTTTTTAGATGGCCCGGATCTCCATATTGATCCCAGAAAACTTAAGAGAAATGTAAAGTAGATGCCTAATTGCTGTAAGAGCTTTACATAATAATTTTACTTTGCGTTTTGTGCTAAAATAAAAACGTACCGGCGAAGCTGAATCAATCAGTATAATAGGAAGAAAGACTGATGCGATAGTAAGAAACGATGGAACGAAAACAATTCGTTTTTACCTCATTCAAGTATCTATTTGATAAATCGAATTATGTTTTCATAACAATAAGGCCTGGACGTAATGGCAAAATAATATTATCGTTTATACGACTCGAATTTTCAGATACTGATATTTTCCTGGAAATAATTTTGATGAGTTTCAATCATTTTATTTTTGAGCTATTTCCGACGTCGCTGTTACGCATTTGATGTTGTTTGACTTTCGCATTATAACGTAAAATTTAACAGTGTTTCTTACTCGTGCGGCTTGTAAATATTACACCTGGAAAAGTTACAATTTATGTCTTTTACGTGTAATGAAGCTTGCTGCTAACATAGCTGAAAAGTTAAATGTGTTTTACAAGACGTAATTAATGCGTCCTGAAACCTACACTCCCCAGTGGCCATCAATCGAACATGGTAAGGACTTTGCTTCTAGAATTCCTAATAACTACAATCGACAATTTTTTCAAATTCAAAACAAAAGGAAGTTGGTGATCAATTACTGTCTTTTTTAAGTCTTCTACTATTTTTTGGCTTCAACGTAACTTTATTAGGCACTTAACTAACACTCCGAGTTTTATTAGAAAATAAGGTTTCCAAAAACAGTCTCTTATTTCATTTATTCTTTAATTAACAACTTTGTTTCACACAAGTAACAATTTTCACGCTGCCGTAAATTCTGACTAATTGCATTAACACGTCATTCAGAAGTGAACATTGAAATTTTTCCCTTTTTCAGGAAGAAGCTGTTTGCTTGGACTAATCAAATTTATGGTAAGTAGTTAATTATTTTTGTGGGATTTTTTTAATTAAACTTGGAAAATGAGTAAGAAAGCAGAAAATCGTGGTCAGCTAAATAGAATTTATAATTGAAAAATTACAAAAAGTACTAAGCACAGCAGAGAGTTCTTGTTTTGTTACACAATGACAAATCGCCACAATCTCACCGAAAAATTGCAGTGAAGACTGATATGGGGTTGTGAGGGATTTTATTTCTGCTTCTTTTAACAACATATTTTCTATTCTTAACATAACTTATTTATTATTTAAATGTCTCTTCTCTAAGATACTGAAGATCGTTTCGAATTAATTTTATCATCACGCTTAAACTCCGATGTAAATTATCTCTTGGAGAAGCTTGATCGAGAGCTTGATAATTTTCTCTCGAATTTTCTTTAAATAACAATACATGCATGAAATTTAGTTACAATGTATATCTATCAAGGCGCATATTCTGGCTTATAATATGAATTTTTATGGATTTCTGCAGACAAAAGTATTTTTTGTTTTGAATTGGTTGTAACGGATTTTTTGGTACAAACATACATCTTGTGCAATATTCATTTAATTTAGCGAGCTACCATTTGCGTTCGATTCCACTTGTGTTCATTTACTATCAGAAAAACTTGTTTATATGGCTATGAAATATAGAACTCGGAGGTTTTGCGATAATTACGTTGACGAGTGGATTAATGTAGACAAATGGAAAATTTTAAATTAAAACAGGCGATTTATGGTTCATAGCAGAATTTCCCTTGCGGACCATTTTAATTCGATATTTGATTTAAAGCAGTTTTTGATTTAACTGGCATTAACTGGAACAATATTTCTTGTTTAAAACATTAAAGTTATCACAAATTTCTGTATACAGGGTGCGCCAGAACTCGCACCCCAGAGAAAAAAGAAAAATGTCAGGTAAGATACCAGGAACATTGAAAAAATGTAAAAAAATCTATAAAAATTTTGAAATAATGAGTAAATTTTGCACTATGGCTCTATTTATTTCTGTTGGAAAAATATTTTTTCAAGTTTTCTTGCTACAGGCTATTAGAAGAAGAAACAAAGAAGCTGTATCCTAAATTGTAACTCTGATGCTTAATGTTATTTGTGGTTTTTATTGGTAAAATTTTTGTACCTTTACTAAACAATTATAAAAAAAACATATACAAGATCATCAATATCATTAAATAGACATAAAAAAATGTCAACTGTTAAAAAATAAATGTCAAATTTTTTTGATAGATAAAATTTAAAAAAATTTTTTTACGTGTTCCTGGTATCTTATCTTACTTGAAATTTTTCTCTGGGGCGCGAGTTCTGACACACTCTGTATATGCACAAAAAAATTTAAATAAAATAAAATAAAAAAAAAATTAATAAAAACTGTTACGAGTATTATTTATTAATTACTGCATATCATGATTTTAGTGATTTGTTGTAATATTGAACTTATTATGCACTTATTGTAGTAGCAAATTAATTTTTTCATCATAAAAACTGATTAACAGTGCTATTTCTTTACAATCGAAAAACTGCAAATTTGCAATTGATTCCATTAAAACTGTAAATTACGTAAAGTTTCAAAGTTAATTATAACTTGAGTACGCTTTTTACGCTTTTGTTTCAGCTTTCAGAAAGCAAGTTTTAATTTTTGCAGGCCGTGACCTTAAAGTGTATTAATCAGCTTCATTTTTGATTTTTTAATTTTAATAATTTAGTAAGATTCTAAGACCCTTTACTTAATTCTTTAAAATAACAATTTTTAGTCATTACCAGAAAATCTGGTATTTATAATTATAAATTCTGGAACGTATAAGTATATAAATTACATTCATTGGATACGGAATAGTTCAAAGATACTGGTAGTACTAATAAATAAATTAGACTGTATCGATATTTTTAGATATGTAATAAAAATCAAAAATAAATTTAAATTTATGTATTTCCCGAAAAAAAGCTGACATTGAACTATCAAGTTTAATATTTTATAAAAACAAACTTAAACTATATATTTTGATTTTCAATTTCACTGTTAACATATAGGATTGAATGAATCGGATAAAATCGAATAAGTTTACAAAGCGTAGATTACTTAAACACCGTTTAAACATTTTATCAGCAACTGTTTCGTTTAAATTATATCGTAACTGTTAAATCCGTTTCGGTTATCTCTTGATCTAGTTGCGTTCATTCTAAAATTGCGGAGGGATCTCGGATCGTGGTCTGACCTTTTGGATAAATCCGAGATATTTAAAATGTTGTATAGAGAAAGACTAAAAATGTAAATATTTTACACGTAAAAAAATAATTTGATCCTATTATAGGTTTACATATTCGAAAACAATTAGTTATTTTGTGTTTCATTAACATTAAAGTGCTATCATTAACAATTGAACAAATCGTCTCAGTAACAAATTTATATTCAATAAAATAGTTCATTTATCTGAATGTTGTTTTGCAACAGGGACCTAATTCATTCAAAGAGAGGCACATACGTAAAGCTAATGTGTCTGAGGTTCTTGGAGATTGTTTCAACTATTACATTTAAAGTTGTGGTTAGCATTTCTCTTTGTTGTCTCTATATGAGGAACGAAATTAGATCATTTGTGATTTAAAGAAACAATTTACATCGAAACGGATGAAAATTCAAAAATATCGATTTTATAAATCTTGAAGAGTGTAAAATATTTTTATACAACAACTGGTCTAATTTGATTTAGCGATTATTATTGTTTAGTGACGTCTAAAATGTTAAAAACTTGAAACCGTATTAAAAAAATCAACGTTCTGTGACGCATAGTGTCTAGCAAAACATCAAACCTCTTGTTTTCTCGCCGCCATTTTACTTTCCGGAACATTATATGGAGCAATTTAAAACATTTCCATCCTGTAGTTTTGCCTATAGGTGCATTTTAATTGTTCCAAATCTAAATTAATCTTTTCAATTGCTCTAAAGCAACTATCGGTTCTATAGATAAAAAAAAAAAAACGTGGCAGATAAGGAATCTCTGGACGATTTTACTTAGGATTTTGTTGATTCTGAGGCGTTTTAAGATTCTCCAGATGCGATAAACAAACACATTTTTTGATTTGTCATAATAAATACTGTAAATTTAATTCAATTTAATTAATGTTGTTATTTTATACCTAAACATTTTCTGTTAATTGAAATACTGATAAATTCAAATAACGTTGGGAGAAATAACCGCCTATTGATTGTATGTAGATAAGGAACAAAACCAAATAAAAAGAAATTTCCAATCTCTCCACATTTTCGTTCGTCAATGCAGAAAATCTATTGAATTCAGCTGAAAATACTGAAGTGAATAGCTTGATGAAAAGTAAAAGTGTTTATTTTCCTTTTTTAATAATCACATTTGTTTTACTTAGGAACTTTATTGTACATTTTAATTACTAAATGAAATGAAATCGAATTGCCAACTGTTAGCCAAAAACAAATCTGTGCATTGCGAATCTACCGTCGAAAAGCAAAGCCGTTGTAAGGAAGAAAAGCTAACAAGGGATTCAAATAATAAACCAGTATTTCAAATTATGATGTTATCCAATTGCTCTACTGCATACCCTGTTTTCCGTATTTATTGGAAATACTAAATCAATAGTTGTTTACTAAGCATATTTAATAAAGTTTACATTGAAACTTATAAAAAGTCTACGTCGGAGTCACCAAAGAAATTGACTTCAAAGTGATCCGTTTTTCCTTGTAAAAGTTGTCAAATTTATGCGCAAAAAACTTGAGTTCAAATCTGAATGTAAAAGCTTGCAAAGTTTAATTATGTTATCAATAAAACAAGACGTGTTTCTTTACTACCGAACCAAGTCATTAGCTTAAAGGTTAATCGTTCTACTAATTTCCATGAATCTAAAACAGAAATCTAATAGATTTATGTAAACAAAGTCACTGAAAATCGACACATTACAGTTTTGAACAGCTGAAATAATACGGAAGTATTTTCATTTCAGACATTATTGTTTCGAGTTTCGATCAAATTGCTCTAGCCGATTAATCAAAGAGGTTATCTATATTGTTACCAAACTGATAAAATGTAGAAAAAACCTTATTAGCTTTGATAGTATGAATATTAATTTTTCTGTTAATGATTAATTTTTGTAGAAATTAATTTATTTCTAAATAAAAATTTCATCATTAATGAAGTAAATTAAATCGTTCAAGATTCATGTACAATGATGATTAATGTGGAAGGAAATAAAACTTATTTTTTTTTGTAAATAACAAATCTCCAAGATTATAAAATCCTCTTTACAATTGAATCGACGGAAAAGCGTTTCTATGCAACTGCCATTCAATAGACATTTATTAGCATTGCATAATATTTTTGTATTATGCTAATAATAGAGTCAATTGTAAGTTTTATTCAATAACAAACGTTTTGTATTTATGCTTTAAATCTACTTTTGTTGTTAGGAAAACTAATTTAAATGAAATGTGAGCGTTTCTGAACCTGAGAATTATTCATTTTCTTAAAAATGTTACAAAGAAATGCTACTTGAATCTGTGTGTTGTGAATAGAAATACGTATTTTATTTTACCGCTAAATCCACCAAATTAAAAATTTAGAAAGGGTGAGCAAATTATGACATGCAAAGCGGGAAGAAAACCTGAGTGAGGTAATAAATTTTCGTTTTAATTACAAATTTACCTGTTTAATAAATATTGAGGAATCTTTGTAATAATTAAACTCAAGCTTCCTCTCTCAAAGCAAAATGACTTGACTTTCCACAAAATCAATAGCAATGAATATTTAGTTTACGCTTCTTATTTCTTTGGAACTCAGTTTCGAATGGGGTTAATTTACTTGGATTACCATGCTTCACTGTTGTTTATGGTGAATTAATTTAATGCGTATCTAATAATCTCTCTGATAAAGGTATCATATTACATTTTTTATACAAATGTGATTTTTTTCGTTGATAGTTCTGTATACTAATTTATTAACACAACAAATGAAGCCATG